ATGTTAAACAACAAATTTGTCTGTTTTTCTAAAATAAAGTATTATTTGTGAAGGTGTTTTTTTAAAGATGATATTGATCCTTATCCAAATAAATACGTTATTCATTACAACATTGAAACATCCAAATCACTTCAAGATAGGCTTTGACAATTATAGATTTTTCTAGATAGATCAGATCTTGATGTAAAAAGGAACATTCAGGAACAAAAATTTTTTTATCAGGATCGGTTCAAGCATTCTCGAGAAATCGGTGAGCATAACATAGATAAAAAATTATGGCCGAATTGTTAACTTCCTCTTTTGAAGTCGGTTAAAAAGCGTGATTTTGGTACCTTCAATAACGTCTTAGCATTCTATTACTCAACAATATTTTCACTTTCTGCTTAAATGAAGAGGTGGGTAAAATTTAGCGTTATGCCAAAGTAACTATTCCACACGGACGAAGTCGCGAGCAAAAGATAGTTTATAAATAAAATATATTATACACGTCTTTCCTCTTCAGATTCACATACACTGGTCAATATTACGTGTTATGATCTATGCACTAGTTTGTCTTTTGTTGCGCCGGGTAACTGCTAACATTCCCCCTCTCGCTTAAAAGAAAACTATATGTCAAACATTCATTCGCCCTCTCTCTTACGATATCCCCTATCTCTCTCACACAGTTATGCTCTAAATGCATTCATCAGATTGCACGAAATGAGTTTGTTAGATAAACGGGAGAGTGGTTTCTATTCTAAATTCCAATTTGACTGCTCTATACGGGCACAGTAAGTCCAGTCGCCACCTCAATTCTAGTGTAGCCTTACTGATAATTTATAAATTGCACAGAATTTTCGTCGGTATTATCTATAATAAATAAATGTAGGGTTTTATATTCAGGGTGGGCCAGTGAACCGGTTGATCACTTCACAAAAACTTGATTCCTTATTTCGTCTTAATCGTCTTAATCTATTTAGGTAACTGAAATATAAACGTCTTTCGCCTTCAGTCTGCTTAGTGCGAGTTTTTTAACGTTCTCGATAGCGTAAAAGTTAATCTAACTTTAGTGTGCAGTTGGAACAGCACCCCTAGCGGCAAACGTAGGAAAACGATCTCATTCTATACAAATATGAGCTAACTTTTACGCTATCGAGAACGTTAAAAAACTCGCGCTAAGCACACAGAGTTATACCGCATCTGTCTGCCGACGCGTCCGGCAACTACCCTCTTCTCGCTTAAAAAATAAAACTAGGTGTTCCGCATTCATTGCCGTCTTTCTTACTTCCTAACACGACATCTGCTATCTCTCTCACTCAGTCATGCTCCATATCTGTCATTCATCCATATCGCTCCGTTCCGCCCCTACTTAAATGTGTGAAGGTTGGCTCTGAAAGACACTATGATTACTTGAAAACGACTAACATATCTTTATTACGAATTCAGCGAAAATTTTCCACTCAGTCTTGAAAGTATAGTGGGAAATGAGTATTTATTAAATGGAAGCGGTAGTGGGTAATTGCTTTATTGCAACATCATTTTAAAGGTTTGAACGGAACAAATTAGTGAAACCCTAGTCTAATCCACTAGCAGCACTCGTGATGACTCGTTCTTATACAAAAACTGGACAATTGGTTAAATTAATTACTCAACTGGCATACCAATGACACGCAACGAACCAGCTGATTAAGTTTTTTCGCGCGTTTTTCCGCTGCATATATAATTCGTGGGGTTACCATATTAAAACTATAAATTTACACAGCGTACTGTTATGAGGATACTTGAATAAGGTTTTAAAAAAAAGGATATTTAATAATAAAAAATATAATTTTACAGACAACTGACTAGTTAGGATGTTGAAATGGAACTCAAGTGAGAAGGTAGGGCCGGCGAGACGCTAGGATAGGAATATGCTGACACTTTTTTTTATTATTTTTTTATTGCTTAGATGGGTGGACGAGCTCACAGCCCACCTGGTGTTAAGTGGTTACTGGAGCCCATAGACATCTACAACGTAAATGCGCCACCCACCTTGAGATATAAGTTCTAAGGTCTCAGTATAGTTACAACGGCTACCCCACCCTTCAAACCGAAACGCATTACTGCTTCACGGCAGAAATAGGCAGGGCGGTGGTACCTACCCGTGCGGACTCACAATAGGTCCTACCACCAGTGATTACGCAAATTATAATTTAGCGGGTTTGATTTTTATTACACGATGTTATTCCTTCACCGTGGAAGTCAATCGTGAACATTTGTTAAGTACGTATTTCATTCGAAAAATTGGTACCCGCCTGCGAGATTCGAACACCGGTGCATCGCAACAACGAATGCACCGGACGTCTTATCCTTTAGGCCACGACGACTTCAAAACTACTACAGGATAGGAACCTTCGTAACAGTACGCAGGTCATGACGGTAGTTTCTTTTTGAACGGTATTCAGATCAGATCTGATCAGATCAGATATTACCAAGGATAAAAGCAAAGGAGTAGTACTATTATAAATTGAGACTTGAGTTGATAATAAATTACTTGAGACCTTAGAACTTATATCTCAAGGTGGGTGGCGCATTTACGTTGTAGATGTCTATGGGTTCCAGTAACAACTTATCATCAGGTGGGCTGTGAGCTCGTCCACCCATATAAGCAATAAAAAAAAGACATTAAAAAGTTCTGTCTTATGATTATTTTTTGGATAAATTACTATCCTCTAAGAATGATTGTATTAAAATTATGTATTAATAAGAATACACGAATAATAGGTAAAAAGATAAATTATCAGTCTATTCATACTGAGTATAAAAAAAATAATCACTAGTATATCGTTACCGGTCATTACTTCAGACATTCAAATTCAATGCATTATTCTCCACAAACCAAAATTAACATCGATGTATTTGAAACGGATTGAAGTATAAAAGCAATATGGAGAATATTATTGAATTTATTCTACATTATTTATTATATATTATTGAGTTCATTGAAGTGTAGCTGAAAACAAATACTTGTGGTAACCGGGCGAAGTTGGCTACACAAACTATGTAATCGACTTGTATACATGATTAATTTATGCAAATATTTAACTCAACCTATATTCCAGAATGCAGATGTATTTTTTGGAATTATTCGTTATAAAAATATGTCGATCTTAAAATATTAGCTGGTGTTGATATTATTTTTTACATAAGCTTAATAACCATAATCTAGTAAACATATCTAACGTGAAATAGGCAGTCGGAGTCGATTCTCAAATGTACTAGTAAATAGTCTCAGAGTAGTTAAAAAGAGATTAAAATTTCAGTTATTTATTTAAATGTTTAGAAATTAGATCATTAAAACGTTAAAGATAAGGCGTGTTCACCGCTACTATCCCGGTGATCAAATTCAAACGGAAGTATTTTTTACAAGACATGTGGACTTAACGCAATATGTCTACTAATAACAAAAGAATAACATAATAACCTCTTACCAAGTGAGAACTTTTCTACCCAATATAGATAAAACGTAAAAATCGTTTAAGCCTTCGTCAAACAGAACGCGTACTTAGCGCTGCGTACTTAACGTCGCGCTCTTTTCATGTCATACCAATTGACTAGATGAGTCTAACGCTCCTTGACGCAACGCATTCGCCAAATCATAGTGCCTTTCGATAGCAGTGTGAAAATTTAAAAGTATTAAGAAATCGAGTGATTCAGATGAGGCATTGTATATGCATGGGTATTTTCTAACTATTTATATTATTTCGGGCATTATCTAGTATTTTAATACACATTCACTCGGACGAATTTGTAAAAAATTACAACGCCTGACGTCAAAGCGTCCTAACGCCGCGACAGAGCGCTGCGTACTTATAGCGCAGGGGCTCTGTTTGACGGTATGTTACCATAGTAGTACAACACATCTCGGCGTCATAGCGCGGCGTCAGTTTAGCGCTCTGACGCGCGCTAATCATGCGTTCTGTTTGACGAAGGCTTTAATTCACTTAAGTTTTGGGCATGGCCATTAGTATTCTACTTAAACACATCAACTGTCTAGAAAACGTTTGCACTATGTCTGAATTTCCATAGAATATGACAACAATTCGAAAGACTATGAGCAGATTGTTATGTATATATGCAGTCTATAAAATAATTAGAAAAAATAATACAATCACAACTTTTCAAAATTATGAATTAGAACCGTACTACAGTTTCATGGCAGCCCTAAAATGAAAGTCATCTGTTTTAATTGAAAATAGTGGCCGCCCAGTAGTCGAAATTCCACTATACTATAAATAATTTCGCATTACATTATTACTATTATTATAAACATTATTATAATTTTATAGTCAAAGAGTATAATTTTATAATTACAGATTTCACCAAGGCTATACTATAGACAAATAATATTAAAAACAAACTTAATCTATTCTCAATTTGACCACAGATTTTAAGCAATAACAAAAGTTTGACAACAAACAACAAGTTTAAAATTGTTTAAAGGCGTGTGCGTGTATCAAATACATGGTAGTGTGTGTAATGTTTTTGTTATTGACATAATGTATTTTTCACGCATAATAAAAAAAAAAAATAGCATTCTGCACTCCTTCCCTATATTCTCTATAAGTGTGGGAAAAGTCATACTCCTCCGTCCGCGTAATTTTCGTAAAAAGGAGTACAAAGATTTTGCTTTGCGTATTAATTTAAAGATTTTCGCGGGTTTTCGGTCAATCGTTTCGTAATTCAGGATTCCGATGCAGGGGAAATAATTGCAATCCTCGGCTTCTCCAGCTAACGTGAACAATGGGTGCACGCTCGTTGCGATGCATCCGACATGGTCAACTGGCAATAATATCGATTAGTTTTTACCCGAGTGCATAATCGTATTCAAATAGGACAGCATCGCATTAGCGTTGGTAATACGATGTTAACAATTTTCGGTGCGGTATAAAAGTGCGTGCAATTTTGTACAAAACATAACAACTGCAGTCGATTGTGCGATCCGGTGGTGTCTCAGCCAACATAACGATTACAAATTAAACATGTCTCGACTTACGGTAAGAGTTCATCTAGTTTTTGTGAATTCGTACCGAATATTAAAATCAGTTAAATCCTCTAATTAATTTCTGCTTTTAATTTTTGCAAAATAACAGATTCTCTTTGTCATCGCTGTGGCGTATGAAGCTCTTGGAGACGGTGAGTTCTTTGACATTGATGATTACAAAAAAAAACCACAAATATTTCATTAAAAGTTAATACATATAAATATAACTTTCGTATGTATTTCAGGCGCAGTTAAGGACTCTCGTGCAGAACAATCAGGCTATATAGGACATTCACTGGCCGGTCTTGGAAGCTTAGGAGTGGGAGGAGCGTACATTGGCGGGCCGGCCGCCATTGGAGTCGCAGCTCCGGCTGTAGTTGCTGCCGCTCCTGCTCTCGGCAGTGGAGCAGCACTGAACAATGCTGCAGCTGTCGGGGCCGCTCAGCTCAGTGCCATCCAAAATGCACAGGCCGTGCAAGCCGCTCATATCGCTAATTCCGCTGCCGCTGCTATCCAGGGGGCCCGCGTCACCGAAGCTGCTGCTAGGGCCGGACAAGCTCAAGCGATCACGAATGCCAGAGCTTTGGATGCAGCGCGCGTTGCTAACATTCAGAGAGCTCAGGCTGCCGCGTGGGAAAATGCCAGAGCCGCCGAAGCCGCCAGACGTGCCGCCGCCGCCAGTGCCGCTGAAGTCGCCCGCGCTGTTGAAGCCGAACGCTTGGCCAACGCTGCCCGTGTTCAAGCTGTTGCCATCGCTAACACTAGAGCAGTAGAAGCCGCCCGTATCGCCAACGCGGCTAGAGCTCAGGCTGCCGCCGTGGCTACTAGTGCAGCTCAGGCCCATGCTGTAGCTGATGCGGTCGCTAGGAACGCCGGTGCTTTGGAAGGTGCTGTTTTGGTGGGTGGGGGAGGACTGGTCGCTGCTGGCGGGCTCGGTTCCGGCCTGGCTTACGGCATCGGACACGGGTACGGTGCAGGATACGGCTTAGGCCACGGATACACCGTAGGCCACGGTTACGGGGGCGGGAAATACATTCACTAAATCACAAGACCAACGACTGATAGTAAAGACGAATACGGTATTGAGAACAATGTAAACATTTCTAGGGCCATTTTATTTCATTCACACGGAAATAAATGGTTCACGGCAGTAATGCAATGTTTTGGCTTAAAAGGACATGAACTTGTAAATATTTCAAAATTTGTAAATATGTTATGGCTAGGACTGTCTTGTAATTAAACGAATATGCAAACACTTATTCACTTTTGTTTCGCTTTCCAAATATAAGTCTTCATTAAATCCAAAAAATGTTTTACACTAAAATTGGAATCTATATATTAATAAGTGAAGCAAAAACTTTGTATCCCTTTTTACGAAAATTGCGCAGACGGAGGAGCATGAAATTTTCCACACTTATAAAGAACTAGCGACCCGCCCTCGCTTCGCTTCGGAAACATTAAACACACATGAAACCAAAAAAAAAAAAAAAAAAAAAAGTAGCCTATGTTCATCAGGGACAATGTCGGCATCTAATGGAAAAATAATTTTTCAAATCGGTCCAGTAGTTTCGGAGCCTATTCGAAACAAACAAACAAACAAATCTTTCCTCTTTATAATATTAGTATAGTTATAGAGAAGAAGTGCACAATGCTAATATTTTTTTTAAATAATGCATAAAAGATACATTAAATCAATAAAGAAAACATTACACACACTACATACCATAGATTATACACTTAATATATGCTACATACCATGTATTTGACGCAACACGCATGCATACTATTTATTGTCAAACTTTTGTTCTTGACGTCTGTGGTCAAATTGAGAATAGATTAAATATTGTTTGTCATTTTTTTTTATAGTGTAGCCTTGGTGAAATTTGTGATTATAGAAGTATAAATTACAATCATAATAGTGTACAAACTTACAAATCCAATTAATTATAGTTGAATTTCGCCTACTGCGGGACCTCTAGTATGTATAAACATGTTAATCAACATTCATAAAATGTATACCGTTTATGTTTTGTAATGGAAAATTTCTTAAAATGACTTGACACTGAGTTCGATGGGCTGACCTGAATATTTACAGAAGGGAGCGGGTGAAGATAATATTAAAGTCTGACTGAGTCATCCCCAAGCGCATTTGTTGCGTAATTTTATTCACTTTTATTATAATTCCGTTCTTTTACTGTGTTTATACAAAATCAAAACTGTTGACTGGTGGTAGGACCTCTTCTGAGTCCGCGCGGGTAGGTACCACCACTCTGCCTATTTCTGCCGTGAAGCAGTAATGCGTTTCGGTTTGAAGGGTGGGGGCAACCGTTGTAACTATACTGAGACCTTAGAACTCATGTCTCAAGATGGGTGGCGCATTTACGTTATAGATGTTTATGGGCTCCAGTGACCACTTAACACCAGGTAGGCTGTGAGCTCGTCCACCCATCTAAGCAATAAAAAAAAAATGTTGTCCTTATTTAATCTTATAATACAACTAGCGACCCGCCCTCGCTTCGCTTCGGAAACATTAAAACACACATGAAACCAAAAAAAAAAAATAAAAAAAAATGAAAGAAAAGTAGCCTATGTTCATCAGGGACAACGTCGGCTTCTAATGGAAAAAGAATTTTTCAAATCGGTCCAGTAGTTTCGGAGCCTATTCGAAACAAACAAACAAACAAATCTTTCCTCTTTATAATATTAGTATAGATACTCACTAAAATCACAATACCAAAGTCACTGATTAAAAACGAAATCCAGAATTTTGAATTTTATTTTTGAAGTCGAAAGAGCATTCTCTTAACGTGATGGTAACTGGTCACCATGGCTTGTGGACTTCAAGAATACCGCTTAGAATTATTTTCCAAACTCGTTTAAAGAAGTGTCATAGTACAAATTGAAGGAGAGTTCATTTAAGAGACGAATGTTATATCGCAAAAAATCCCTAGAGCGTAATAAAAGGTCTATGATAGTTTTATATGCGAACAAAGTACAACCTTAATTAAGTTTTTTAGAAATCATTCGGTCACTGTCCTCGTCGAACCCGTCGCTTGCGACGAAGGGCTCGACGAGTGAATTAACCCATAGACACAACCCACTAAGTTTCTCGCCGGATCTTCTCAGTGGGTCGCGTTTCCGATCCGGTAATAGATTTTGCGAAGCACTGCTCTTGCCAGGGCCAGTGTTAGCAACACTCCCGGTTAGAGTGCCGTGAGTCACCTGCACGTAAAGGATAAGCTGAAATAGCTTCTCAAGGCTCTCAGCAGAAGCAGGGAAAAAAGATATCATATTAGATGTACCTACTTAAACCTTAATATCACACACATGTTGTTTAATATAAAAAAAAAACCATAAATTATTGATTCATTCATGGGCACGTAAAATTGTTACGAAATTTGAAACCTATCGAGATATAACAGTGAAACAAAAAAAAAATGTCTAATATTTATGTGTGGAAGATAAATTGTGGTTCTAATTAAAATAAACTGGCCCCCTGTTGCATCAATGCTTCAGAAGCAAACTGCTATCTCTAATATAGATAATATTTTGACACAGATCATTAAAGTCCATGTAAACAGGGCGGGGTTCACGCTTCTGAATGAGATAAGGGTAAATGTATATAAGGGGAATGCTGCAATAGTTTACAACATAACTTCAAAGATTCGCATCCGTTCCTAAAATGAAGATCACAGTAAGTTCTCAATTGTATTTCTATGCTAATACTAACTGCGTATTAATAATACAAGATCAAATGTATAGCTTAGTCAATGAAAGCATTTGAAAAATACATATACGAATTAATTCCGTTGTTTTTGTTTAATATGTTTCCTGTATTTAATTTTACAGATTGCCTGTTTGATTTTGATTGTGACAGCATGTTACGGTAAGTTTTTGCACAGTCTATTTAAATACAAAACAATTGATTTTTCGAAAATAGATCTGTGTTTGTTTATCTACATAATATGTATGCCCTCCATAATAAGCAATTGGAATGCTTATAATTATGTACTTTTTTATTTGTTATTGTACTGTATGAATTGATGAGCCCACTGCCTCTACTCACATTCAAAATATAGTTAAGTAATGTAGTATAATAATATAATATAGTTAAATAATTAAATATAATGAAACGCTCTAACCCCATACAAATTTGCTTCGATCAACAATAGTAACGCTATGATATAATAACGCTACGTTTGACAACGTTTGCCGCTAGGGGCGCTGTTCCAACTCCATACAAAATTTGAGTTAACTTTTACGCTATCGAGAACGTTAAAAAACTCTCACTAAGCACACAGTTGTTGCAAAGACCCATAGATCATACTTTCACTTCTCTCACTATTCACTTCTTCTCTGACACTCTCTTCACTTTTACGTTTTAATCTTGTGCTTGTTAATATTGACATCAACAACAAAACCGTCAGTCATCCATCATCAAAAAACTGTAGGAATTCGAAATGGCGTGTCAAATGGGTAATTAAAATAAAATTGCGATATTAAACCCTACAAGAAGTTTAAATAACCGAACGAAAAGCAATAATAATTGCAAAAATAACCTATAGGTTTACTAATAGAACTCATGGTATCAGCTATAAGACTATAGCACACAAACTGGCCTAGAAACCGGCAGAGCTTACTCCATTCCACTTGATAACTCATAATTACTTTTTCAGGTTACCCGTATGGATACGGCCATGAAAGCTCTGGTGGGCAAAGCGGTCGTGGTGGTTATGGCCAGGGAGGCGGCCAAGGCGGATATGGTGGCGGTCAAGGCGGATATGGTGGTAATCAAGGCGGATATGGTGGTAATCAAGGCGGATATGGTGGCAGTCAAGGAGGATATGGTGGAAATCAAGGCGGATATGGTGGCAACCAAGGCGGATTTGGAGGCAATCAAGGTGGATATGGTGGCGGCGGTTTCCCTCAAGGACGAGTAGACCAAGGAGGTTACCGCGAACATGGATATTAATTGAAAATATAAGGATACCGTATTATTGAATTGTGGAAATAATGACCACTAGTATCGTAGAGAGTCAAAATAAAAATATTAAATTTACACTCGCTTGTTCTGATTTCTTTTTAGACTTTACAATAATAGCTTTCATAGTAATTTAGTTTACGCATTATCTTTATTTAAAAAATATTTTCGACTTAAGCCATACATAGCTCTGTGTCTTGGTAATTATTGTCACCCAATTAAAACTAAAAATTCTAATGATTCCTTTCGTTTTATTACTTTCCTTCTTTTTTCCCGTTCGGGCCAAAGATCGTGATGCTCTTATTAAGTGTATAATCTATGCTTGAAATGAGAATTTCACTGTGCATACACACAGCTTGTTTCATATTGGAATATTGCTTGCTGTTTTCAATCAGGAATTTTTAAATGCACTCATCGATGTAAATTTGAGGATTATGAGCTATTGTTAAGTTCTATCGGTCGACGAGGTAAAATGGAGAATATGGTCATTAATAAGATACGGTTATGCTCTCTCACAGCTATATCTAAAACTTCTTCAATGTTTTTATGTGGAAATAATATCCTCTTCTGTTTTCCCTAACTCCTTTACTAAAACATGCTAACCCGTTTTTCGTCGAACTCAATAATACGTTTTTTTTCCTACCTAAGCTGATAGCCTTAAGAGGCTCACGGGGCTTAAACCTGACGACGTTGCTAACACAAACCCTAGCAGGAGCCGTGCTTCGCAGAATCTACCTCCGGATCGGAAACGCGACCCACTGAGAAGATCCGGCGAGAAACTCAGTGGGCTCAATTTTACAAATTTCAAAATTTTATGGCTGTTGTACACAAACATACTTTACGCCGGCTTGATTATAAATGGTTAGAGGTTATCCTAGCTCAAACAAAAACAATTTTCTTTGTTATAAAAATGAATATAAATATATACCTTCGTATATAGACTTAAATTGTGAAGTTGTTCAAGATTTCCCAGTTTTATAAATATAGTTTACGAAGACCTTGGAATTTTAATTTAAACTAGAACATGAATTACATAATTAATATTTGGTTATTTTCCCTATTTAATGCAAAAATATGTTGATCCATCGCCCTTGTGGTCGGTACTGAAATAAACAGCTCTTGTTAATATCGTTAATTACTTATGTTTCGTGCATAAAATTACAAAATAAACTAGTATTGAGTCCATGTTAAGAGTTGTGTGGGGTCAGGACATCAGATAAGGGATTATAAATGTATATAAGATTAGTATTGCAATCAGATTGATATTGCAATCGCTTTCAGCATACATCTTTTGAATACCTAGCCGATGATTAGGATCATCAAAATGAGATTTACAGTAAGTTAACCAAGATAATTAGTGTGTTTTTTAATGTTGACAACATATAAAATGTAGCGATGCGTTTTTATTAGTAGTTTTTTTTAGTGCTATGAAAAACACGCGGACGCTGTCAAAGAAGGTAATATACATCATTTAAAGCTTTTATATTTTATAGATAGCCTGCTTAATTTTATTGCTGGCAACAACATGCTACGGTGAGAGTTCATATTTTATTCGTTTTTTTTAGATACGTCCTTAGACATTACTTTCCCTAATTATGTATAGTAAAACATTGATCATTCTTTAGATAATTTTCCATATTTCAATTTTTTTTTTCTATGGAAGTCACCTTGAGACATGAGTTCTAAATCTTCGTTTTTACAGAGCATTGGCTAAGAAAAACGTTACTCTTTTTTTTTATAATAAAACCTTCGATCAATAATAGTATTGATCGAAAAATAAAACAAAACATTCAACTGCAGTCGAATTTAATATGCTTGTAATTGTTAATTAATAAAATTAATACATTGAAGACTTTCCTATAATGGTTTCGTGATTTTCATTTTAGTTTTTGCCTCCCATCTGTCCGACGTTTTGAAGATCCTTATTGTCTTTAGAGTCGGGGATTTTCGGTGCCTCCTGCGATTTATGCGTCTGCTCCTGAGGCTTGTGGCCATGGTCTGTGGGATGTTTTAGGTCTGGCACGTCGTGGTCCAAAGGTTTGGCTGTCGATGGCAGCTCCATGCTGATTACAACGGCCACTAACATCAGCGCGCAAACTATGATCTGTATAAAAATGTAAATAAAGCAATAAATAAGGCAATAATGTAAAGAAAAATGTGTGGTGTCGCGGGACACCGGATAGGAACGAAGTTCCTTAATAAAAAAATATTAATTTTAAGTTCTATTCGAGGTATAAAGAAAATAAAACTGGAGGTTTCGCAACAACCCACGGTCATTCGGTAACGGGCGAACTTATTGTGGTACACTTTATTCACGGATGTTTGCATAAGAGTTAGTGTATTGCGCAAACGAACGCTCTGAGATCGTGGTCAATGAATGATAAAAAAATATGTTATTTTTTGTACGTTATTATAAAATGAAGTCGTACACTAAGTGCATTACTAATAAAAAATTTACGTTACGGACGTTTTTTCCCGGTTAGGGTACCCCTCCGTATCGCCCCATAAGGAACTTCGTTCCAAAACAAACTTTTATAAATATAGAAAGAAAATCTCACATAACAGATGCATTTATTATGTGATCATTTAGATACATGTTTCATTCGCGTTTGACCCTATGTACATTTATTATTACGAACGAACACGTATTATTACGAACATATTTAATATTGTAACAAGAAAGTAAGTTTCATTATTTGTTATGTTTTGACGTCTTGATTACTTAACTGATTATTATGAAATTTTCTATACTCATTGTGAGAGAAAATTATAAGATACAATGGGTTTTCTTATCGCCGATTAAGAACGATTGCTTTCATGTAGAAAAATAAGTGTTGTATGAGAATGGTAAAACGAAAGCGAGTTATAGATTCGCGAAATAAATATATAGGATTGTAGTACATGTCCGCAGGTCTTCACGATACGTCTCATCCATAGTAAACAATAATATTGAGGGGTGAAACTGGTGAAAGGCTTTAAGGTAAAGGTTTAAAGGTTTTAACGACATATTTGCAACTTTACAGGAGAACCGTTTAAAGTTTAAAATTTGGAAAAAATATTATAATATAAAAAAAACTTCTTCAGCTATTTAAATAGAGTAAACTTAATTGAAGTTCCATTAAAAACATAGAACTGTTAATACCAAATAAAGCGCACCTTTACTTATAAAAATTAATGTCGCTTATGCCTTTCACTTCTCGATTAGGGTTACGGAATCCCAAATTCAGATTTTCCATTATACTAGAAATAATTAACTATATCTTATGGTAGGCAGCGGCTTGGCTCTGTCCCTGGAGTTGCTGATGTCCATGAACGACGGTGACCACTTACCATCAGGTGGGCCGTATGCTCGTCTGCCTACAAAGGCAATGAAAAATAAAAAAATTAATCTCTTACCGCAAGTCTGGACATGTTGAGATGTCGATTTCCTTTTTGTTGAATATCATTCCTGCGCTCTTTATATACAGAATTTCTAAGACAATAGTAATAATTTAATTACGAGCATGTCAATTGCAGAAAAAAACCCTAGACAATAACATGTGGTCGGTAACAGAGAAGTCATTAGCTTCTTATTAATTTGTCTAATCATTTCTTAATGAAATGATAAGTACTTGTCATGGAAAATGAATAGGTGAAGTAGACTAATGTATTTTTCTTCGATTAAAAAAATAATTGATCATTAGTGACTCTTGTATCACGCAGGCAGGCCTTTGTAGGTAGACGAACATCCGGGAGTCGATCGACAATGTTTGTCGCCCTTGGTCATCAGCAATGCCAGTACAAGTCGCTACCTACTCTATTGACATGTACCTTTCTTTGCACACAGAAAGAATTATCAGTGTTTTGTGATCTGACAGCTTTTGACTTGCGATCTGATTTTCACGATAACAGGATTTTATGTATAGAAGCCGTCGCTCGAAATACGACATTTCGGATCCTCCCGATCCACTATCGGTGCTTTTAGGTACCTCAAACAATACTGAGTTTCTCGCCGGATCTTCTCAGGGGGTCGCGTTTCCGATGCGATGGTAGATTCTGAGACGCACTGCTCTTGCTAGAGCTAGTGTTAGCAACGTCCTCAGGTTAGATCCCCGTGAGCTCACCTACTCGCCCGGTTACGCTTGCATAACCCCCTAGGTAGGAAAAATCAGGTAGGAAAAAAATGTATAGCACATTGTCTTAATAAAATTGCGTTTGCCAGTCCGCATAACAATGTCAGTATTGGATCTGGTAACTTTCACTCTTTCCATAAAATGAGCGTTAGAACAGGAGGGTCCATCAGCTTGAGGAATATCTTAATATAGGACTCATGATTAAGCTAATGAAAATAAGTCGGAAAATAGTTATAATTATTGAATAATTAATCCTCATTTATAATCGAAGTAAGTATTATATTTTGTTTGGTTGATTGTATGTATATACCACAGATTAACAATGTTTTTATTGTGTATATCTGTGAATAAAGAAAAATAGTTAAATACTAAACAGGGTGTCACTGTAATTATTTAATATAGTAATTTGAATTACAAGCCGATGTGTGATTTTAGACACAACTGCATTGTATAGATCAACATGAGTGTTTTAAAATTTTTAGTCCTAATTAATAGACAAGAACAAAATTATAAAAAGTTGTTGTTGAACCTCAGCCTCAGCCTTGGTCTGAGTACTCGGGTATTACTGTCCTTGTTGTCTTTCTTTTGTTTTTAATTTATTATTATTATTAATAGTATTGTTAAATCTCTATTGATATATTAATGTAATGCATGCTGTGATTGCCTCTAATTAGAGTTGCAGTTATCAATTGCTCTATACATGTCAATGTTATTTTATGTCATACTGTAAACCCTGTCGGTAATCCTTAAATAAATAAAAAATAAATAAATAAATAGTTTTATTCAAAAACTAAATTATATTTTTTTCAACTTTTTGATGAAGGCCTTATTTTTTTCCCAATGAAACTTAAAACGAACGTTAGAGCCAGATAAAAATTTTTTTGTTCGTAAGGACGTTGACGAAGGATTCAAAATATGAAACAGTATAGTAACCAAGTATTGCACTATAGATGAAAAAATTAAAACACAAAAAAATAAGCACTACAATATGTTTATTTATTTATTCCGTTGACATAAATTCATATGAAATTTTGAAATATATTGTTAATACATTATTTCGTTATTAATTTTCTAAGATATTCTTTACTTTCCAACGCGAGCACCAGGGAAAGCTGTAATATAGAAAAAAATATATTAATTGTGGTTAGCGAACACCAGGCGAGCGGTTAGGTTTGTAGGCAGCGGCCTGGCTCTGCCCCTAGCTTTGCTGAAGTCCATGGGCGACGGTAACCACTCACCATCAGGTGGGCCGTATGCTCGTCTGCCTACAAGGGCAATAAAAGAAAAAAGAAAAAAAAACTGCTTCCGACTCTGTATACATTATCTATTAATAATTAGTACAGTTGTTAAAACTCGACAATTACAGGTTGCGTTAATTATACTACTCGTAGTTGTGCACGTCAGAGAACATCGGGAATTACTTCATTTAATTATTACAGAATGACGTTGGTTGATATGTTAATGATAAGAATTTTCGATCTTTTTTCCACTTATTCGGTAATAGCCTAATGCCGGCCACTCACATGCGCGCAATTATTCGTACATTGTACGAATGTTTGCGCGCATGTGAGTGGCCGTCAAACATTCATTCGCAAACTTAGCGGCTGTGCAAATGGGTTCGGTACTCAATTTGCGAACCCGTTTGCGCTTCCTCCTACACTTGTTTACGAATGTCTCACAAATTTCTCCTCCTTTTTAATTCGTCAATAGAACATTGAAGAAAAAAAGAGTTTTGAATTCTCTCTCAGACATCATTAACAGCCATGCTGTTTTTATGGGATTTCTTTTGATGAAGATACGCTACACAGTAGACGTCACGATCTATGAAAATAGCGAAACGTCCGTTGCCTTCGCAATCCTGGGCGCAACTGGTCACACGAATGTGTGGGAGACTACGCGAAGGATCGCGGTTCGCGCGCTTTGATGTCTGTTAAAAAACCGACACAGCTTGGAAAACTACGAATGCAGCGAAAACTTTGCATAATCATTTGCAAATGTCGTCCTACACTTGCGGGTTTGCGTATTCGTGCGAATGTGAGTGACCGGTGTAAAGGAATATTCCAGTTACGCTCGGACGGGTAAGAATTTTTGATCATTAATACCTCGAATGCATTTTAATAATTATTAATCAAATGATTTTGAGTTTAAAATGCATATTATTATTGCATGTCCATTTTGTCGTTTGACATCAAGGCAAAATAAAGAAGTTTTCACACGACCGAGTTAGAGGATGTTTTTACTATTTTTTTCAGTCGATACGAAAAAAATGAGCCCAGTTTTTCCAAAGCGTTGAGCGTTGATTGAGTATAATTCAGCGTATGTACTCACGGGTAGGCCTGAAGTAAGGTCGGCCTTCTGTGAAAAATATAAAAAATGAAAATTATCAAAATGCTCTTGATTCCTACGTATTAATTGTCTATCAAACAAAACTAATAATAGGTACCAGTAGCGACATCTAGTGTGTCATGTGAGGGCTGTGTGTATGTATTATATGTACATACATAATTATCTTTAAACTAAAAACGTTAGGTTTTTTTCCTTATCTATTCGCTAGCATAAGGGGTTATTACAACTGAGCCTGAGACAATTTGCTAGCAATAGCACTAGACATAGCAATGCTTCGCGGAATCTAAAATCTTTTATTTTTATTTTTTTTATTGCCCTTGTTGGCAGACGAGCATACGGCCCACCTGATGGTGAGTGGTTACCGTCGCCCATGGACTTCAGCAAAGCCAGGGGCAGAGCCAAGCCGCTGCCTGAGTTTAGTGTATTTTTTTTGTAAATGGCATACCTACTCTGATAATCAAGCCTACCGGCCGTTAAGTGGTTATCTAAGCCCAAACACAACACATTGTGAATGCCACTACCTAGAGACATGAGGTCTGAGATTCAATTTTGTAGTATAATGGCTTCAAACCAAAACGCACATTTGCTTCGCGCGGCAGAAATAGGCTGGTTAGTGGTACCTGCCGATGGGGACTTAAAACATGCATTTTTCTTACATATACATAAGTTCTTAAATATGACTTTTTAAAACTAAATAAAATAAAATCAAATACAACGTTTGAGTATGCAACGTATGAGTTTACTTACGGGGAGGGTCCACGTAATATGCACCGTTGTCTGTAATAGATAAAAGACAAAAATCATCAGTAAGTAATTCTTTTCGACCTACTTAATACATGTTAAATAAAAATCAATGTCTGTGTATAAATATACTCATAAACATAAGACGTTTGTATAAACATAGCATATTAATGTAATACCTATATGCCAACGGTTCTCAAACTTATTTTGTCTACTGCCCACTTTAAGAATAAATTATTTTTAACGCCCCCATTTTTCCACATATTTAAGAACCACTAGAGCGAGAGCTCAGTCTGTGTCTAAGAGTCCTCCTAGATGAAATTACAAATCGCCTCCCCGGCCTCTACAGAACGCCCCCATTTTTTTCTGGGTCTCTTACCGCCCCCCTTGGGTTCTCCAGCGCCCACAAGGGGGCGTTATCGCCCACTTTGGGAAAGGCTGCTATATGCGTTCCTAAACCATACATTCTATTTTGATGAAGCTTGCTATAATAATAATTACTTGGTATATTTCTAACTAACTCAGTGGTGTTGGGGCCAAGGGTGGTGGGCTCTATTCTCACATCGGGTAAGCATTTATGATTTTTTTTCCTGCCTATGCTGATAGCCTTGAGAGGCTATATCAGCGTTACTGTAGCGTGTTGGTGAGCTCTCGGGGCTCAAACCGGCGGTGTTGCAACTTATTTAAATCAATGGTTGCAACACATAATGTTTTAAAACCTAAAAATTCCGATCACATTCGATTTTGTGTTATATTCATACAAATTTACTCACCGATAGGTTCGTAGCCGTTTCCTGTAAGAAAAGAAAAAAAAACGCTCATATTAATATTGAATATCAAATTTAAAATTGAATTACGAAATTACATCAAGAAACAAAATGTGGTGTTGGTATAATGTTCGAATGAAACCAAAACTCCCGCCAATTTCTGCACCGTATACTTTCCGGTTAGTAAGACTTATATTACAGCGATTGTAGGAATTATAATAACTAGAGGTCCCGCAGTAGTCGAAATTCGACTATAATTAATTGGAATTGTAAGTTTGTACACTATTATGATTGTATTTTATACTTCTATAATCACAAATCTCGCCAAGACCACACTATAGAAAAATATTAATAAAGACAAACCATATTTAATCTATTCTCAATTTGACCACAGACGTTAAGAGCAAAACTTTGACAATAAATAAATATTAGGTATACATGCGTGTGTGCCTCAAATACGTGTTAGTGTGTGTAATGTTTTTTTTTATTGATTTAATGTATTTCTTAGACATAATTTAAAAAAATATTAAGATCCTGCACTCCTTCTCTACATTCTCTATAAGTGTGGGAAATTTCATACTCCTCCGTCCGCGCAATTTTCGTAAAAAGGGATACAAAGTTTTTGCTTCACGTATTAATATATGTATAGATTAGAAGTTAACGGGTCTGTGTTAAAAAATATATCGTTCGCGCTGTATTTTTCACGTCCAAGTGCTTCTAGTAGAGATCATCAGGAGTGACGTTTTATACGAAGGCTATTAGTTTTGAAAAAAAAAAAAAGAATATTACACTTACCATTAGGGTTGTAATCTTCTGCAAGAAAACAAAAAGTCAATGTTAATATTGAATGCAGATTCGTAGCTTGTGTTTAAGTATGTTCCGGTTTTTGTGGGACATCCCTTATACAATACTATTGAGGCTTCGATCTCACGTCTCAATGCATTGGCAGCATTCGCATTGTGATGTCAATTACCTTTGACAACTATATTTGGCATCATACTTTTATGCTTTCAAACAAAATGGTCTTTCAAATATTAGAAAATTTGTAATTTTCTTTTATTGCTTATATGGGTGAACGAGCTGACGGCCCTCTTAGTGTTAAGTGGTTACTGGAGCCCATGGACATATACAAACGTCAATGACGTCCTCCACCTTAAGATATGAGTTTTAAGGTCTTCGTTTTTACAGTAAAACGGCAATTTTCAAAATATGAAATTCATGTTTACCGCTGCATTTAAGTAAGATTTAAGTGCGGCCCTGGGGCACCATGAAAATTGCCGTCCCGTCAACTAAATCCCACATAAATAGAGTAAAGGTCCGGTATATATGTATGTATACCTCAAAACCTAAAATTTACTTTAATAAAGCAAATCTATTTTTGATTTATGAATTTTTAAATTTTTTTTATTACTTAGATGGGTGGATGAGCTCACAGCCCACCTGGTGTTAAGTGGTTACTGGAGCCCATGGACGTCTACAACGTAAATGCGCCACCCACCTTGAGATATAGGTTCTAAGATCTCAGTATAGTTACAACGGCTGCTCCACCCTTCAAACTTCAAACCGAAACGCATTACTGCTTCACGGCAGAATTAGGCAGGGCGGTGGTACCTACCCGCGCGGACTCTCAAGAGGTCCTACCACCAGTAATTACGCAAATTATAATTTTACGAGTTTGATTTTTATAATACGATGTTATTCCTTCGCCGTGGAATATTTTGAATGACTTCACAATTCTTAAAGTTTTTTTTTGTGCACTCCCAGTTTTTTGCCACCCTTGAAGATTTCGCTCTGAGTCTTTGAGGACTAGCCGCTAGTGGCCTTGGTGTAAATCCAACACTGCATGCATGTACTTACTGGGAGGATTAACGATGTACGGGCGGTTGTCTGAAAAAGATAAAATATCGAATTATGATCGAGTTGTCTTATAAATTTGTAATGTGTTTTTTTATTTTTATTGCTTAGATGGGTGGACGAGCTCACAGCCCACCTGGTGTTAAGTGGTTACTGAAGCCCACAGACATCTACAACGTAAATGTGCCACCCACCTTGAGACATAAGTTCTAAGATCTCAGGTATAGTTACAGCGGCTGCCCCACCCTTCAAACCGAAACGCATTACTACTTCACGGCAGAAATAGGCAGGGTGGTGGTACCTAACCGTGTGTGATAGATATGTTTTATGCAGTTTTTAAACGAAAAGGAATTATCACAAAAACTATACTGAATAGGTCACCAGACAAACAACTAACCAGTTTATCTCACTATTTTAAGTGACTATTTATTTTGTAAAATGTTAATTATTTAAATTGCAAGCTTCTAGATAAAAATTAAGTATTCTATCTGTTATTCTAGTATATTCTTTTTTCTTTATTTCTAGTATTTCTTGTTTAACTTTTATTTTCGCCCAATTAAATCACAACATATACATAATACATATTATATAACATAGCTCGTTCAACCATCTAAGCAATAAAAAATAAATAAAAAAAATTCAATAGAACGGGATAAAATATAACTTACCAATAGGTTCGTAGCCGTTTCCTGTAAAAAAAAAAAACACAAATCAATATCAATGCTAAGTTATATGAAGAGGCAATTTGATGGGACTGTTAAAGCTAACTTATTGTGCTACCTTGCAGTTGCAATAAAGTAATCATGCGTTCCGTGTTATTAAACAGAATAATAATGCAATTGAGATTTTGAAGGTGGACGGACGGCCCGTGATTAGAGATGATCGACATTCATAAAAAAACTTACCAATATATATTATACTCTATATATATTTTATTTTTATACTCTAGATAGAATATTGAAAATACTTTAGAAAAAAAACAAAATTAAGTCACGTAAGACAGTGTTTAATTGTTATTTGAATTAATCTAAAATATTATTTTATATAATATAGGACTTTTTTTTTTTTAATTCGCGAGCGATCTCAACTAACGTGTGTATACCATTCCATATTATTATATTATGCACCTTTATAAACAATTGAAGAGGCTTATTCCAACATTCTTGTTTTTGATGAATTGTAATTTTTTAGATTTTAATATTTAAAGGTATGTGCTTAATTTAAAAGAGACGAAAAGAGCACGTTTTTCCTTTTCTGATTTAAAAGAGATTGTTTAGTTTTATAAATTTTTAGAAGACATGTTTATAAGTCGTTCGTAATAAAAAATTCAATTTCTTAACAATTTTAGTTAAGCCACTTTAATTCTAAAGGTGCGATATGTGTTTAGCGATGACCACAGCTATACGTGCGTTTCACTAGTAGTTTTAAAGTGTGGGTCAAGTTATTTCACAAATAGAGTATGCAATGCGAACCAGTCTTAGAATAACAGTGATTTTAAGGTACATACGGACTTTAGGTACGAAACATTATTCAATTAATATATGATTGAAAACGTTCAACGCTTGAATTTTTTTATTATATTATACTTTATTTAAAACTTTCCATTTAAACTAATATTGGATTTTTTCATGGTTCCCTATTATGCTCCCTAAAATAAATCATATACAAAGCAAACAAAATACCATACTGTGAACACGAAGATTATATATAATAGTGACAATTTTTAAGTACCAAATCTCCAAATTTTATTTAAAAACTGAATTTGCGCGAACTTAATAGAATATTTATGAATAAAAAATTGGGCGTTCCACGAATTTGTATATGTTTAGAGTTTCTGGAATAACGACTAAAGATTTAAGAATTTATTTAATGTTCTACGACTCCTACATCTAAAATCTCTTAAATTATTCTATCAAGTTCGCTAAGGACATTTCACAATGAAGTCTAAGTTCCTTTTTTCAGTTGGTGACTTCGATCAACAATAGTAACTTTTGTTGATCGAAGGTTGGTGAGTTACATTTCAACAAATATGTGATTATATTAAATTTTCAACTACAACTTACCTACAGTAGGCTGGGCAAAGAATGGATCGGCTGAAAAACAAAATCGAAATGAAAAAATAATGGATAATAATTATTAGAATACTATATATTTGCTTCAATTTAATTATTACTTTTGCAAATACTCTAAGTGAACGGGGTTCTTGTTATTCGTAATTGTATTATGTAATATAAATAAGGTATTTATTGGAGAAATTGTTTAAAAAAAATATTGTAAATCTATTATACAGGGTGTATCGCACTCGGCTCCCAAAAGTAATACCGCTTTTGATCCCTAAAATTATAGCACTAAAAAAAATATTAGATTTTTTGTGTATGCATTACTCGCAATGTAACAATGTTTTTAACCCACAGACACAGCGCACTGAGTTTCTCGCCGGATCTTCCCAGTGGGTCGCGTTTCCGAGCCGCTGGTAGATTCTGCGAAGCACTGCTCTTGCTAGGGTTCGTGTTAGCAACGCTCCCGGCTTGAGCCCCGTGAGCTCACCTACTCGCCCGGTTACGCTGACATAGCCTCTCAAGGGTTTCAGCTTAGGTAGGGGAAAAAAACAATGTTTTGAAATTGACGCGCCGAATCTAGGGTCGCTCGGGAACGCGGATGCTATTCACAGATGTTTTCGCGTTAGTTTGCCTTTTTAACAAACATTAACTCTTCTTTTTTTGCAGTATGGTTTCATGTGATACCATAACTACCAATGTCGAATTTAAAACGAAATCTATGAAGATTTCGACAGATAAAAGATTTGAACACAGATATGAAGATTTGAAGATATGAAGACAGATATGAAGATTTGAAGCAGTGACTGATCACTGTTACATACTTCGTTTAATCAACAATGATCTGAAGAGGAATGGAATTATGTTGATTTATCTCAAATGGCCAGTCCATAGAACGTCTCATTGTACAGGGAAGGGTTGACGGTACAAGATCGCGTAGGAGGTCACAAATGCGGTGGAATGACCAAATTAAAACTGCAGTGGGAGGTCCCCTACATGAGTGCAGTATAATGGCCTCCAGCAGGGAGAGATGGAGGGAGACGCATCAAGTCTGCCCCTTCCAACACTACATGACGATCACGACCGCTCTGTCAATAGTGACACGATTGAGAAAGAATCTCAAATAAAAAAAGAGATAAAACGAAGTAAATGAATGTATATTTTCCATTTACTGTAAGCTTATCTGATTTGCCTGGTTTTTTATCGTATCGCTTTCGGTTACACGACTGTACACACCCTGTATTCTAGTGGACTATAGAAAGAAAAATATAATTCAATTATTTCGTTAATACTCACGGTCATTGATCACAACTGAAAAAAGAAATAGATGTTTTAAAATGTGTTACTAGAAAGACAAATTTGTTGCAAGATTTGATATAAGGTTATACAGTTCGGTTACATTCATAATATATCACTTTAAATTATTAAAATTACTACGGTTTACGATTTAAATTGAAAATAAAGATTGTTTGTAAAAAATGAATTATTATTATGTTCTATTACGTATTTTACAAGTATATTAGACTAGTGAAACTTGACCACGCTTTGCTGTGATGATCGCAAGATACCACACATATNGATTTGATATAAGGTTATACAGTTCGGTTACATTCATAATATATCACTTTAAATTATTAAAATTACTACGGTTTACGATTTAAATTGAAAATAAAGATTGTTTGTAAAAAATGAATTATTATTATGTTCTATTACGTATTTTACAAGTATATTAGACTAGTGAAACTTGACCACGCTTTGCTGTGATGATCGCAAGATACCACACATATCAGCATCAGCACATAAAAAATCTAATTATATTACGTGAATTATACGGTCGTGTATCATTTTAAATTAAACTATATGATGCATTACATAATTAACTATATCATGCACGGCTATTAATATGTGTAGGTACTTGTAAAAAGCTATCGATAAACTTTGGTTCATTATTAGTAAGTCTTACATTCATTACATTAATATCAAAAAAGTACATGGAATGCTCTTTGCAAGCAGTGTTTATCGTACTGTTGAGTACAGATACTCTGTTGATCCTTTAACAAACCTTATTGCGAATTCAAAATAACACAATAAAAACGATTGACTGTTATATTATATATTGTTCATGCTAAATAGGTTTAGATAGATCATGCAAACAGAAAAAAACAGTTTTAATGAAATTCTCAGCGATAAAAGCCCAATAAATAGCATGCAATTTCACTTTATTTACATAATTTTGATTTTGATCGAAGACGTCCTAAAAGGAATAAGTAAATCAGGGTAAAAATCAAACAATAAAGTTCATGCGATTTAATCTTATATTTGTTGAAGAATAACAAAACTGTTACAAACATTCTATAGAAAAAACAAAATATAGATAAATAAAATTTTCACAAAAGAGTTTTTAAATTTTTCGGAACGTCATTTTTATGCTTTTTTTCTTTGTATCATGTCTTGTGTGTGTGTGTGGCATTGCGTTGCTTACTTCCCACCGCGAGCTCCGGGGAACGGGGCTAATTTAAAAATAAAGAAATATAAATATCTTTGGCTTTACGTTTTTTTTTTGCTTTGATGGGTGGACGAGCTCACAGCCCACCTGGTGTTAAGTGGTTACTGGAGCTCATAGACATCTACAACGTAAATGCGCTACCCACCTTGAGATATAAGTTCTACGGTCTCAAGTATAGTTACGTTGTATTAATACATAAATAAAAACAGACAATAGTAGACGTGAGTGTAAATAAACTATTGTAATAATACTAAACAGTCATATAGAGTTTTTACGAAGTATTTAGGACATACTCAGGCGATAGCTCGCTTAACCTAATAAATAATAATAAAAAAAAAAATAGAGCGCGTGCAACTTGGAGCACATGAAAGAAGTGAAAGCTCTTTTGAGGTGTGTGGTACTGTGGCTTTCTTCATTTTTCATCCTTGAATCAAATTTCTCTTGGAAAACTGTGTATGAGAGAAACGACTTTGCTTGCTTTGTCCTCTCCTACTCTTCAAGGTCGAGTGGCTCGCGGGACGCTCTGTCTATTTTCTCACTCTCGCTCTTCCTAAATTGTATCTTTTCTCTCTAGCCGTAACGAATCTGTCGCGAGTTGAATTTTACTCTCAAAAGGCCTAAAGATGTTTCACTTCAAAAAACGCAGCGTTTGCTCAATTTCGTACGAACGATTTTTTTACAATTTTATATTTTGATGAAAAAATATTTCAAGATGAAATCCATGACTATGTATTTAAAAATATTTTTACGAATTAATCTCGCCTTTTTTTATTGTCCTGATATTTATATCTGACGTTTAGAAAACTTTACAATTTTCAGAAATTAAATTAAAACCGATGATGTGAAATAAAACCGTTAAAATTAGTTTTAATTATTAACTGTCTTACTTGGCCTCTGGGGTCTGTTGTAGGGCCGGTTTACGTACGCTGGTCCAGTACCTAAAATGTTTTTCATCTTTATTAACGGGTAATATTATACGTAGCTATAAAACAATCATTTGTTTTAGGAATTCTTATGTTATTTGAATAATATTTTTTACACTTACTTATTGGCACGTATCCGGGTTGACCTGAAAAATAAAAATGGCATTTTCGTGTTAAAGTTTTATTATTATTATTAATTCATTTTTATTAATGTATTCATTTTTATAAATTCATTTCTAAATTATTTGAAACTCACCGATTACGGGCCGAGAAAAGCCAGGATCCGCTGTAAAACCGTAAAAAATGGATTTAAACAATAATTTAACATTCACCATATTTTCAAAGATATTTTATATGAACAGCTGCATAAATTGAAGCATAAGATAATTACAAGTAAATCACTTACGGTTTGAGATGAGAACTGAAATAATTAAAAATATTTATCAGTAACTGTTACATAATAGTACACGATTACGTAGTAATAAATTCATAAAAGTTTTACATTAAATTTTTACCTTATCCTACGTTTGCTGAGCGAATTTTGTGTATTATTTTGAAATGTATTATATGTATATTATGTATTATATAATTGAAATGTATTCATTGCGAAAATAATTTAATAGTTGCTTCACTCAACCTACCCATTTTTATAATATTTATAACATTAATCACGAATTATAATGACGCTAAATTTTCGATCATTATGTATTATTGTTTTTAAAAAATCTGTATGTTTTCATTATCAACAGTGATGCTGTGTTAAATACGCCATTTTCGTCATATCAAGTAAACGATTTGCAGGAAAATTATTAATGTTTCTTGTGCTTAGTAGAAGTGACAAAAACTAAACACTGTCAACAGCATTGTAGGTGCACACACACACACATGTATATATGTTGTTACTTTTTTAGTCGTCTTGAAGTGCGACGTAGGAATATTTGTAGTAACTTTTAATTTATTTCAAACATTATATCTATTTATCGAGGGGTGAAAGGCCATTTGATTTAAATGATATCTGGCTTAATACGCGACATTTATCTTTGTAATTATAGGTCCATTTTATTTGGTAGGTATTAGTCTCAACATTTGTATTTTTTTAATTGAAGTTCAATTAAGTTTACTCTATTCAAATAGGTAAAGAAGTTTTTTTCATGTTTTTATTTTATTTTTAAAATCGCAAATATGTCACTTAAACGAAATAGCCTTTTACCGCCCGTCTGTAGTTGTTGGTTCACCGATTCTCATTGACATTAGCAATGTCAGGGGTAGTTATGGTCTACTTTTGTACACATTTCAGTTACTTGAAATTGGAATTGTTGTAACATAGTCAATGGTTTTTTTTTTTTTAAAAAGCTACTGACCAATTACGCCATATTGAGTAATTAATTGAGAGCTTCAAAAACGCGAGAAACACAACATGGTAGAATCTAGTATTCTTCTTCTTACGAATATTTATTAGATTAGGAAAGGTTAGAGTTATCCTTGAATTTTAGGTACTTACTGACTATACGCACTGAAATTCAATCACATTTAATTTTATCTATGGTTACTGAATTTATCAAATAATTAACAAAAAAGGTTTTGCTATTTATCTAGAAATTTTTGCCTAGAAATTTGTGGCCCGAATTAGGGTTGTCAAAAATATCCACTAAAAAATACCTTATAATGCCAAGCAAAAGCGTATTAAGTTACAAAAATAAGGAAGAGAAAGAAGAAAGAAAAAGTTTTCAAGAGACACGTTATCTTTTAGAATGAGAAGAAGTGAGATACTTATATTTTTTTAATAATGTTCGTTTTGTTTTTTGCTAATTTTTAACATACCGTGACCCGGATGGTTATTGTCGACCACGTTAACTGAAAAAAATTACGACGGTATTTGATTTAATCGAAAACGGTAATGTAAAAGGAATTTTATTATTTATCTATACTGTTTTTTTTTTTTTTTAAATCGTACGTACCGTGTCCAGGATTATTATTATCGACGACGTTCACTGAAAAAGAGTAAATTTCATAGTTTTTTTGATAAAAAATATTATTATTCTTATTATTATTTATATTATTATTATTTTATTCTTTAGTACAAGATTGAATAAAGAGTAAAAACGTACCACCGTAACGTTTTTTCGCGTCACGAACTGGAAAAAAGAAATCGTTACCGTTGTTAGTAAAAGCAAAATGTATTTCGGTTAAAAAGCGTGACAGATACCGCCATTTTATAGCATGCCAAATGCCAAATGCAACATTTTCATCCCTTTAAGTTACGAACCTGAGTCAGCGTTTTCCACTACCTTAACGGGGTCTAGAAGAGGAGAGAGGAAAAGAAGAGAGTTAGAATAGAAAGAAGAGAAATAGCAAAAGCAATATATTCAATAGTTATTTAGCACCTTTTAACTTGGATAAGTAAGTCTACGAGTATATGATGTCAATTTAATTCAAATACACAGACATTTTTTAATCAATACTTTATGTGTAGGTAATCATAACCTACAATAAAATTGTGTTTTTGTATAAATGTTAAAAAAAAATTAAGCTATTTTTAAGTGTAGGTATTTTTGATTGTTCTTAAGATTTTAAAATAGGTGGCTAGAGCAATATGACCACGCGTCGAAATAATAAAAATTCACATATTCGTTACATTTCGTAAATTATACCGCAGACATGTATTTATAAATATGTACAGAATAAACCTCTATATTATATAGTAATAAAAGTATGGTTAAAAATGTTTTTCTTAAATCAGCTGCTTCGTACCTTGAGCGTTGGCCATAGCCAGCAGAGCGAGGACGAAAATCTGTAAAACACATAATATAAACTTCATTTTTCGATCGTTGAATTATATACACTGGCAAGTAAATACAAAAACAATCGTTATCTAGAATATCACGGCACGAGATAAAAACGATAAGATTGAAGTTCTAATTTCAGGATAAAAAAACAGTGATGATTTATAGGCTTACTATATAGTGTACAATTACAGTTACAATGACTATGTATGAGAATTACAAAGGTTATTTTTAACAATGGTGGTAGGACCTCTTGTGAGTCCGCACGAGTAGGTACCACCACCCTACCTATTTCTGCCGTGAAGTAGTAATGCGTTTCGGTTTGAAGGGTGGGGCAGCCGTTGTAAGTATACTGAGACCTTCGATTAACAATGTTACTATTGTTGATCGAAGACTGAGACCTTAGAACTCATATCTCAAGGTGGGTGGCGGCATTTACGTTGTAGATGTCTATGGGCTCCGGTAATCACTAAACACCATGTGAGCTGTGAGCTCGTCCACACACCTATGCAATTAACTCATGTCAAAAAGTGTGCGTATTTGGACTAAATTTTTTTAATTGTGATTAAAAATTTTGAATATTTATCCAGGATATACATATATATTTTAGGATATTTAGACAATTTGGATATTTGGGTGCTTAGCATTGGTGTCGTTAAAAAAAATATTTAAACACAAACTGAAGTTTTATTACATAAGTCATGTTAAGGTCACCTTCGTATTACAAAAACCTATTTCCTGGTATTTATATATACACACAGACGTGCGCAAACAAAAGACAAGTTTGCGGTTAGATCGTGTGAAACAATATTTTTATTACGTAATCATCTGTATTTTAGTAATGGGCATTACCTATTTTTGTATATCGAACTGTTTTTTTTTTAGTAGGTAGTCGTCACTATACTAGTCCTCAGACAAAATATCACCTGGCTTTTTTTTTAAAGTGGTTTAGGTATTTATGCGCTGTTAGTTTTTAGGCGACCTCATTTTTTTTTTATTTTGTCATTTCAAACTATAACCAACCGAATTTTATGAAGCAAAATCTAGCGTAAGATTCTGAACACGATAAGGTAAAATGCGTCATATTAATTTTTTAACGTCTGCGTGCTATAAACCAGTAAAAATAAGATGGAAACTAGTGTATGTATTTATACTAGCTAGTTATCTAGGAGCTTGTAGGAAGGAAGTCGTTCCAACGGCTGCTCTGGGACTGGTCGTTGTCTAATTATTTATATGTACATATAATTAATTTCGAAATTTCTTGGTTGCTTTGAAATAGCGATAATTAGTGCTGCAAGCACATCACATTTAAGTTGTTGAGCAGTTAAACGGTCATTGTTAAGCTAATAATGTATCTCACCTAAAGAAAATCCGGTTTATCTACACAATGGTTTAATTAGAAAAGGTATTTTCGATTCTCGTAGAACTCTTTCAGGTTATTTAGTATTAAAAATATAAATCAACATCTGCAGCGACACACAAACGCAAGCAAACAATGAAATTTTAATTTTTAATTAAGACGATAAGCAATGATTACTTGGATAACGATAATATTACTTAGTATGTTGTCTTTTCGTTGGTAGGTATAGTTTTCAAATTGCTTACACAAAAGTTTTTTTTTTTTTAATTTAACTTTTTCTTATGATTTCAATTTAAAGGGAAAGTAAGCGAGATAAAATATTTAAAAATTATAGTATTAGTTACATAGTAAATAATAGTCATTGTATGTTATGTTTTAGTCTGTAACGGACTATCACGATTACTTTCTTTTTGTTTGCTTGTCTTTGAAAGTAAACGAAGGCAAAACATACATTATATACGTGAAATTATTCTCACACGTCTTAATAACAATTAGAGTAAGTAAAATTTAATCGGAACGGATTAAATCGTATTTAAGCAAGTTAGGAAAATTAAAAATCAATGAAAACTTACCATGAAGAATTTCATTTTTATATGATCACGAGTTATCACAGGCGAAAATATTAAAGTTGTGCTTAAATTTTAGGCGATCACTCTCTTATATAGTGTACAGATAACCTGCGATGACCTGAGTAAATATTGTAATTCAAACAATTCTTGTGTCTACATACAAAACACATTTTTCCGTACCGATTCCGGTAATAAGTCATGTTTTTGAATTGCAAATTTTTTTGTTAACTCTTTTCCTAGAAACGGTCTGTTTCGAGAACAAAACATCGGTTTTGGTATAATTGGAAAATGCATTTGTAAATACAAGTGGTAATAAAAGATAATGGAAAAGTAAAAGTTGAGTTGTAACTATACTGAGACCTTAGAACTTATATCTCAAGGTGGGTGGCGCATTTACGTTGTGGATGTCTATGGGCTCCAGTAACCACTTAACATCAGGTGGGCTGTTAGCTCGTCCACCCATATAAGCAATAAAAAAAAAGTTGTTGATTCTGTTGCAATATTTTAAAGTCTTATTAAGCAGCTGTACCTACTTATTTGTGTTCTTCCGCACCAACACACACATCGTTCAAGTGATAAGACAACACGCGCCAAATGTCGCCGTTAACCTTGACTCTAAACATTGATATATATAAATAATAAATACATCAATGACTCTAAAGCGTTAAATTATATTTTTGAGGTGAAACATCCTTGCGATATAATTATAATTAAGTAAGACGTATCATACCTACACATATCCAGTACGTGACGGTGATTCCTTGCGACGTCAACTTTTTAAATTTGCTATGTTTTTTGTTTATATATGATCGGTCTAACGGTCTATTAAAGGCGAGGTGAACACCGCAAGGTCGAGGAGTACCAGTTTTTATTGCTTAATTTTCGACCCACGCTAGGTGGTCATTCCAAAGCCCCTAACATCTGTTATACCGATACTCAATTTGTGAAATGAGAGAAGACTGTAAATTATATTGTAGTTGCCGTCATATTACCCTTCAAACCGAAACACCAAACGATATTTACAGGTGAGGTCTCACAGTAGCAGCCGTAGGATGAACCTGTACTAATATATTTGTTGTTTTGGGACATATAAGATTACGAAAAAATTAAGTATCTTATTATTATTTTTTATTATTTTTATTGCTCATAGGTTGGACGAGCTCACAGCCCACCTGATGTTAAGTGGTTACTAGAGCCCATAGATATCTACAACGTAAATGCGCCATCCACCTTGAGATATAAGTTCTAAGGTCTCTGTATAGTTACAACGGCTACCCCACCCTTCAAACCGAAACGCTTTACGGCAGATATAGGAGGGGTGGTGGTACCTACCCGTGCGGACTCTTAAGAGGTCCTACCGCCATCGCGCCAGGGGTATTTTAAAGGCATTATTTATGCACACTACTTAAGTAATTCAAATCGACTGTGTCATAGTCATAATATATATATATCCTATAGTCCTACTTTACTTACTGACATTAATGTCAGTCACACTATGAACAGGAGATTTAAGATAGTCTATGCCTATATATCTATTGTCAAATCAGTAACTTCTCGGGGTCCTCCAAAAAGTCTACTGCAAAAATATTAGTAAATGAACACCAAAGACATGATATTGGATGAAAAATAATATCAGTAATATTATTTCTTTTTTCATTTAGTTTCATCCCAGTTGATTAATGTTCAAATTAATCATCTTCATTCCATTTAATTTAATTTCATTTCACTCCATATTATCATTTTTCATAAAATTAAGAATGAAAACTAAAATAAGACATGACTTAAAAGTCTTAGTTACCAGGTCATAAAATCCCTTAAAAAATATGTATTGTCATATCAGCTAAATCCAGAATGTCAAATTTGTTGGTAAACATCCATGAATCTTTAGTATCAAAACAAACAGGAAAATCATATTTAATTAAAGGAAATTATGAATATTATCATTACTTGTGTGATGGATTTGACGATAGGGTAAAGTTTTATTAACTTTTGATTACAATAGGCAATGACAACATTTAGAGGTTATAATGTTGTTGTATCACTCATACCGAATGTAGTGAATAATTTTACATTTAAGGGCTGGGGTTGCGGTTATAGAACTCTTCAGACGATATGTTCCTGGCTGAAATTAAATCATATGGATGTAGCTGTACCTTCAATACGAGAGATTCAATCGATACTGGTTGANTTTATTAACTTTTGATTACAATAGGCAATGACAACATTTAGAGGTTATAATGTTGTTGTATCACTCATACCGAATGTAGTGAATAATTTTACATTTAAGGGCTGGGGTTGCGGTTATAGAACTCTTCAGACGATATGTTCCTGGCTGAAATTAAATCATATGGATGTAGCTGTACCTTCAATACGAGAGATTCAATCGATACTGGTTGATTTGGAAGATAAACCGAAAACGTTTATTGGTTCGAGACAGTGGATTGGCAGTTTTGAGGTATTTGTTCATTGAAAATAAATTGTGAAGTATGCAAATTAATTTTGACCATTTAAATTTATTATTGTACTAATTGTAACAAATTATAACACGGGTATGTAAGCTAGTGGTATTAATTATAATTGCTAATTGTGCTTTTACTAAGTAAAAACATTGATACTTGCCCATAACCAACTGTAAGTACATATTAAAAAAAAAAACGAATAGCCTTTGTATAAGTTAAACTAGAAAAAAAAAGTTATAAAATTATGTACTCCTCCTTTTCCTCGCATCATTTCTTCACTGCCTCAAGTCAAGACCATCATATTCCGACAGGATTTTACTCCCTGTAATGCCACTCCAGCGCCTCCGATCATTGAAAATTATGCACTAGTACTTCCAATCCAATAATATGAATGAGAAGGAAACTATGAAACCTCATTTAACCTTAAACTCAACTTTTATTATATAATTAAATTCCGTTAAAACCATTTAATGACTTTGTTGTGTGCGTATTGCTAATATCCATTAGTGACAGGATTCACTTGCTGCTATTGAAAGCAATATAAAAATGTTTTAGGTTTGCTTGGTAATTGATAAACTATTTGATGTTCCATGTAAAATTATTCATATAAACAAAGGAGACGATCTTAAAACTATTGTGGATGCCTTAGTCAAACACTTCATTGAGTACAGCAGTCCCGTAATGATGGGAGGAGATGTTGATTGCTCATCTAAAGGGATCATGGGCATTCATATTGGAGACCATGGTGCCAGTTTATTGGTGGTCGTAAGTATTCATTGATAAATTCAGCATTATATTAAGGTATATTTTTTATATAAGTATATGAACATTTATTAAGTAGGAAATGTTTTTAACAAATGTTCACAATTGATTTTTGATGGTGAAGGAAAAACATCGTATACTAAAAATCAGACTTGAAAAATTATAAGCTGCGTAATTACTGGTGGAAGGACGTCTTGTGAATTCGCATGGGTATTGTGTGGGTCGACGAGCTCATGGCCAACCTGATATTAAGTGGTTATTGGAGCTCATAGACATCTACAACGTAAATGCATCCACCTACCTTGAAGTATGAGTTCTAAGGTCTCATTTTTACAGTACAGTGGTTGCCCGACTTTTTAAACTGAAACGCATTACTGCTTCACGGCAGAAATAGGCAGAGTGGTGGCACCTACCCGAGCAGACTCGCAAGAAGTCCTACCACCAGTAATTACGCAAATTATAATGCTGCGGTTTGGTTTTTATTACACAATGTTATTCCTTCACCGTAGGGTGTGGAAGTAAATCGTGAACATTTGTTAAGTACGTATTTCATTAGAAAAATTACATCGCAAGATACGAATACACCGGACGTCTTATCTCTTATCCTTTAGGCCACGACGACTTTATAATAATCCTGTCATTTTTCTCAGGATCCACACTATGTTGGAAAACAACCACGTAAAAATTATCTACAAGACCATGGCTGGGTGAAGTGGCAACCACTCCATGATTTCCTGAGTTCGTCTTTCTATAATTTGTGCTTGCCTCAAGTCAAAGCAAAGATTGTATGAATCAAAGCTAGTCAAGTAAAGTAAAGATAAAATAAACAGATTTCTTTGCGAGTCTTATTTTATTCATTCGTAATTGACTACATGAAATCATGTAATTAACAATAGAAACTTTAATTCGGGAAACCAAACAATTACATCCAACAATCATAAAGTTACCAATACAAAATGTATTTTTATTTAATTATAAATCAGGCTCCAATGTGCAGAAAAATAAAAATAAATAAACTTAAAATAAAAAAAAAAAATTTAAATTTAAATTTAAATTAATGGAAGTAAGTTTAAAGAAAATGGCGAATCTAACCTTTGTATCCGTACCTAATTTATTATGTTATTCGTTTTTAAAATTATTACATTATAATAATATTCATGTCCCACATTCGAAGGCCCCCACAAAGACTTACTAGACAACATTCAGATTCCGTATAAATAAACTAATGACTTGTAGTAATTAATCCGGTGTATCCATCCGGAAATGAATTTTCTCGTGTCTGTAGGTAAATTAAAAAACTTTTGGGAACGTGCGTTCAAGAGGCTGTGTTAAAAGCTATGAAACGATGCTATATCTCAAATTGCTTTAATTTAGTGTCCGCCTTCTGTTCGACATTTAACAATAATCCTTTATTGCCATATCATTTGCTATTAAATTTAGGCCATATTACATTTTCTCTTTCTTTTTGTTATTGACATCTTGTTAAAGTATGGAATGGAATACCAGCTTCTTCCATTTGACTCTATACAGAGGAGGGCCGTTCGGATTGTCGATAATCCCATTCTGACGGATCGTTTGGAACCTCTGGGTCTGCGGAGGGACTTCGGTCTCTCTGTATTTTGTACCGTATGTTCCATGGGGAGTGCTCTGAGGAGTTGTTCGAGATGATACCGGCATCTCGTTTTTACCATCGCACCGCCCGCCACCGGAGTAGAGTTCATCCATACTACCTGGAACTACTGCGGTCATCCACAGTGCGTTTCCAGAGGTCTTTTTTGCCACGTACCATCCGGCTATGGAATGAGCTCCCCTCCCACGGTGTTTCCCGAGCGCTATGACATATCCTTCTTCAAACGAGGC